TGTAATCAAGGATGCTTTGGGCAGAATATTAAATGATCCAGGAAGTATTAAAAGAAGATGGAAGGAATATACGGAGTCATTATATAGAAAGAAATTGGCAGATACAGAGGAATTTAAGGAAATAACATATGAGCAAGAGCCTATGGTGATGAAGGAAGAAGTTCAAGCTGCTTTGAAGGCAATAGCAAAAAATAAGGCCCCAGGAATAGATGGAAGAAAGAATTAGACATGATTAAGTAGAAGGTAAGAAGAGAGGAAATATGAGATCAAGAAAGACATACAAAAATGCACATGTCACTCAAAGACAAATTACTTCAATGAAAGGAGTAAAACTCTACACAGTAGCTAGAGATAATCAGTCCCGCTTAGCTGATGGTAGTGGAAGGCTGGGTAAAACGTTTTCTTGCAATATTGAAGGTAATTCCAGAGACATATTCCTGGCAGTGTCACTACTACAAAGTGGAAGTAGATGTCTCAGTGTTGAGCAAGTAATGCCCATTACCACCTCCAGAAGAGTGTTATCACATTGAGAACAGCAAAAGCCATATTAATGCTGCCACCAGGAACAGCAACCTAGCAGTTAACCTACTCCAGGTGTGAAACTGTCAGAGTTTCTAAGAAAAATACAAGTCACACAGGCACTGCATGGAATAATATTTAACTCATATAGAGCAGAGGCACAGCAATATCATCTTTAATAATGGGCAATATCCTATGCTTATAATTCAGGTGGACCCCATTTCTTCTAGACTAGGAACATACATAGAAGTAGAGTTGGCCAAGTGGTGTATAACACATACACTAGATAAGCAGTGTCTGAAAGCACTGATCTGTACATGGGGACAAAGGGGTGAGAAATGCTACTAGACCTCTATCTGCTTCCATAGAAGAAGTAAGCACAAAGTCACATCCTTTCCAAGAAATCAGGCCGATAATATCTGGTCCCTATACAAGGTTCATTCAAAAGCCACAGCAAAAGACAAGTTGTGTTCAAACTGTCACCTTCCTCTGCCAACACAGCACCAAACAGATGTAGGTGTTATTCATACTCCCCTGAGAACTGTAAGTTTTTGACATAAATATTCAATTGCACATATCAACAACTATGTAACGGAAACACACAAAATCAATCTTGATTTATTTAAATACCTACAACACAGACCGAAAACACCACAGCAGTTGTTATGGTTGCTCAGGAGAGAACACACCCAAAACACTGCCAACTGCAGACACCCAACAAGTCGGCTTCAATCATACAGATGTGGCTGGAGCAGAAGACAGGCCTGATGATCTACTCCCAAAACGGCACATCCGTCTGAAGAAGTTCTATTCTGAACACAAGGCAGTCTCTGAACTTACTCCTTACCAACTAATAACAGATCACGGAAAGTGAACTCATTTTCAATTACTTTTAACATATTCTCTGTCTTACTTCCTCAGAAATTCCAACTATATCAAGTAAGAACATGGCTTAGTTTGTTTCCTCCTCCACACACCTTTCACGGAAGTGCAAATTAAAAGAGCCAAAAGAAAAGAAAGAGTATCCAGATAACCAACCCTGGAAGAAATATGAGCTGGCAGTGAGTCTGAACAGGACAAGTTCTGTATCTCTAAGTTTCTGTTTGCAACGAGATACACAATTTTACCCTCCTCTCTTACCTCATCTATCCTGCACAGATAAAATATCTAGTTTACAAGGCGTGATCCTAAAGGTCTAAACAGAAGACCTTCAAAGGAAAAAAAAAAGCTGAAGAGGTCAAAAGTCAGAGAACCACCGTTCACTCTTCCCTTGATAAGCAAAGGCCATCGCTGCTACGCTCATGAATTACTCCTGTTCTAGTTTTTCTTTCCACTGTCATGTTTAATTCAGAGCACCAGGTGCCAACCAACTAAAGGGGCCAGCATGCCCATATCTTGTGCAGAGGAGTTTCCAGAGAAGTGCCAAGTTCCTTCCCACCCAAGCAAGCTCGGGGACCAGCGTTCCACGGCTTGGTCCATGACAGGTCGCCCCGGCTCCCGCTCCCTAGCACTGTGAGATACTGCGAGGGAGAACCCACCTGCTCGCGCCAGTGACCAATACCACCTTCCGCATTATGGAGGGATAACCTGGAAGCAAGCAGTAGAGCTGAAACACGCCTCAGTTTTCAGAAATCTTAAAGCCCAGCTCTTGGCCCAGGCCCCGCCCACACACTTCATTCTCCAATCAGGGGCCCCCTCTAGCGTCACCGGTTCCATGCCCCGCCTTCTCCATGTTCTCCCGCAGAGAGGAGCCTTGCCCGGATGGGCTGAGATAGGCCGAGGGGCGGAGCCACGTGACGTAACGGTGCTAGCCAATCCCGGCTCCCCTGGCCGGAGTGTCTGCGCAGCAGCGTCGCTGCTGTTTGTCCGGCCTCTATTCTGCAATCTGGAATCGGTGGATTGATGGGGATCTCTACCCTGAGCGTCTGGGTGGCAGTTCAGTGCAGAAAGGTCAGTGCACAAGGAAAGAAGGTTAGCACAAGAGCTCTGTGAGTTCAGAGTTAAAGGTTAGGGTTTAGAAACTGAAGTTTTGGGATTGTTACTCACTGAGTTTCCATTTTTCGAATATGTAGTTTCAGGCATTGTGCTGTTTTCTTTCTCTAAAAAATCATCTTTGGGAAAATGAAACCACTGATTTTATTAAGAGTTGTAGGCTGAATCATTCATAAAAGTCTACAAAACCTCGAACACAGCGTGGAGCCAGAGTTTCACAGGACAGTATGAGTAGCCTTTCAGTGCACCCCAGGCTCGCTGTAGTAAATGACTCATCTTGTTCTTCCAAACCAACCAAGATAGATGCTTATGAGAACTGCAGTAAAACTTAATTACTAGAAAAATAAAACTCAAAATACCTATACATACCAGCTTCTTGTTTGTTTTTACTAAATTCAACACAATATTATTCTGGGAAATTTCTACAGCAATTTTAATATTTATGCAGAATTTCAGTACTTAAGAGTTTAGTAACCACCTTTCATTAACCTTGCATATCATATACCAAACTATTGAACATACTTCAAGGTTTCAATTATTTATTAACAGCTATGATACCTGAAAGAAAGGAGTCTGAGATAACCTGTTCTGAAGTTTAAATATTCTAGAGGTTTTGATTCCTCTAATAATCAACAAGCTTGGTAACATTTTTCTTAAGCCAATAAAGTTCTAAATATAATCAGATACAGATCAAATATAAGCATAAATAAAGTCTGATTATTTGAACATTGATTCTGGATGCTGTAGAGTCTCTTCTGATTTGCAGCCTAAGGGGTTTTCTTGAGTTCTGGTGGCTTAGTAGTAAGGAGTTGTGTTGCCAACCCGAAGGTATATTGTGCGAATCCACCAGCTGCTGTGTTGGAGAAAGATGGGCAATCATGTGCTTCACTGCCCCTGAAAATCCCTGCCTGGAGAGTCAGTTATCGATGGGTTCTGATTTGACAATGTTGTTGTTGTTGTTGTTGTTGTTATGTGCCATCGAGTTGCCTGCGACTCATAGCGACCCTATGTACAACAGCCCTAAACTCTGCCCTGTCCAGCACCGGCTCCGATACACCCATTCCGATTACCCCAGTCACTGAATCTATCCACCTCATAGAGGGCCTTGCTCTCCTGTACCATCCCTCCACCCTCCCAAACATGATGTCCCTCTCCAAGGACCGGTCCCTCCTTACATGTCCAAAGTATGTCAGTGAAGCCTCAGAATCCTTGCCTTCAAGGAACAGCCTGGTTTAGCCCTTTCCAGAATGAATCCGTCTGTTTCCTAGCAGTCCATGATACCCTCAATACTCTTCTCCAGCACCACAGCTCAAAGGCATCAATTCTCCTTCTACCCTCCTTAGTCATTGTCCAACTCTCTGACACATAACAATTGACTGCAAAGATAATGGCCTGTATCAGATGCACCTTAATCTCCAGAGAGAAACCATTGCTCTTCAGTACTTTGGAGAGGTCCCTAACATCAGACTTTCCCATTGAAATACGTCTTTTAATTTCCTGGCTGGCTGCTGGTGCCAAGAGTGTTGACTATGGAGCCAAGCAAACTAAAGCTGTGAACAATCTCAGTATCTTCACCATCCACCCTGATGCTGCCAATTAATTGGTCCAGTGGTGAGAATCTTTGTCTTCTTGACATTGAGCCTCAATCCATATTGAAGGCTACAGTCCTTGACCCTCTTCAGCAAGCACTTCAGGTCCTCCTCAGTTTCAGCAAGCAGGGTTGTGTCATCTGCATAACACAGATTGTTGATAGATCTTCCACCAATCCTGACACCGCACTTCTCTTCATAGACCCCAGCCTCCCAGATAATCTGTTCTGCATACAGGTTGAAAAGGTATGGAGACAGGATTTGACAATACATAACAAAAATCTTTATGGAAGCAAATCAGGTTTTTCTCCCACAGAGCCTCTAGGTGGTCCCCTAACTACCAGCCCTTTGGTCAGTAGCAGAACACTTAAACATTGTGTCACCAGGTCTTTTTGCTTGAACATCCAATTGTTAAGTAAACAATTTTTTTTTTATCTATGTAGAATCCCACTCCCAACTTTTATCCCACTTTTTAATTATTTTGAAAAAATAATTTTTAAAAGATGTTTGCAGTTGAGTAAATTCTAACTCATGGTGATCCCATGTGCTTCAGATAAGATCTGTATGGAACTAGAGTATGCAGGATTTGAAATTGGATTTTTTTTTGGTAATTCAATGCTAAGCCTTTCTTCCAAAGCCCTTCTGTGTGAGTAACTGAGCACTTACCCTTTACATCACCCAAGGACACCCTTTGTTATATATATTGTGTGTGTGTAGACAAGTTGATTTCGATTCATTTTGAAAAGGAGGGAGGGAAGCAACCAAATGATCTGACTGCTGTGGAGTCAATTTGTACTTACAGTGAACTCACCATCATCAGGTTTTTGAGAGTAGACTGCCTGCCTTTCTTTAAGTAAGGGTCTAGGTAAGGGCCTAGTGCATTCAAACTACCAGCCTTAGAGTTAGCAGCCTGACTTGTTATATAAACACTGCACCACTGTATAAGTAGAACTGTCCCATAGAGTTTCTTCGCTTCTGATCTTTAAGAAAGAAATTTGCCAATTCTTTCTCTTGCAGAGCTTCAGGTGAAGTTGAAGTGCTTACCTTTTGGCTGAGCGAGAAAGAGCTTCAACTATTACATCAGTAATACGTTTCTCGCCAAAAATAGTCACACTGGCGATAAATGTATTTCTGTTCTTACTGTATTTAAAGTCTTGCTGTTTATTTTGCCCCCATTTGCTGTCATCCCATCTCCCACCACACAACTAAAGTCCCTGGAATGAACCAAATCCCTACTCTTCACTCTCCAAAATGAACCCCACAATATGAGTGTCCACTTCCAGTAGTTATTCTGGGAGAATCTAACTCATTACTATTAATTTCTTACTCATCATAGTCATAGCTGAAGAAATTGTTCGTATTTCTTAGAAAGTTAAGACTTCAGAGAATAGATAATAAGTTTTAATGCTAATTTCTTTATTAAATTTATGGAAAAGTTATAAAGACATTCTAGTTGGTTTGTGTTGGCAGTTAGAGACAAACCATATTTGTATTTGAAAGGTTTTATGTATCAAATAAGAACAATCTTTTAACAACGGTTAAAATAAAGAATATCTCATTAACTCTGGACTGGATTCCCTGTAACTGGACTAATACATAGATGTGTGTTTGGTTATATTGGAGACTAAGATACTTTTCTTCTAATAAACAGTGAAATAACACATTATTAGGTAGCACTGGTGGTCTAGTGGCAAGAAGCTGCACTGCAATTCTGAAGGCACACCATTCTAATCTACAAGTTGCTCTGTGGGAGAAGGATGGGCAGTCTCTTCCTGAGTGATTAACTGTCTCTCAAAATTCACTGGAACATCAGCTATGGGTTGGTTCCAACTCGGTGATGCACAACAACATATTATTGTTAGGTACCATGCAGTCTCTGGACTCTAGACTGACATTGTTACTTTTCAGCACTCTGGAGAGGTCCCTGACAGATTTTCCCAGTGAAACTTGTCTTTTGATTTCCTGACTGCTGGTGTTAAGAGTGTTGATTGTAGAGCTGAGCAAGCTATAATTGTTAACAACCTCAAACTTTTCTCCATCTATCATGGTGCTGCCAACTGGCCTAGTGGCGAGAATCTTTGCCTTCTTGCTGTTGAGCTTCAAGCTATATTGAAGACTATAGCTCCTGACCTTCTGCAGCAAGCGCTTCAGGTCTGCTTGCTGTAGAAGGTTAAGGACCGCAGTCTGGTGCTGGTGAAGAGTCTTGAACATACACCATAGACTGCCAAGAAAACAAATGGGTCTGTCTTGGAGAGGGTGAAACCAAGTTTCTCCTTGAAGGCTAGGATTTTGAAGCTCTGTCACACATGCTTTGGGCACATGGCCTGGAGAGACCGGTCCTTGGAGAAGAATATCATGCTTGGAAGGATGGAGGTACAATGTAGGAGAGGAAGACTCCACATGAGATGAATTGACACATTGACTGGAGCAATAGGGGTAGGTGTGTCAGAACTGGTGAGACTGGCTCAGGACAGGGCAGGCTTCCAAGCTGCTGTACATTGGGTCACTATGGGTTGCAGGCAACTTGATGGCACGTAACAGCAACAACAACCCTGGAGTCTAAGCAATCCTCTTTATGAAAGGAGATTGCTAGGTCTTTTCCCATGGAATCACTGAATGGGTCAAACCACCAACTAACATTTTTGTTATCCTCCACAGGGAGTTCTGATAGTGTTCTGAGTAGGGAGTTGTGTTGCCAACTCAAAGGTGTGAAGTTCAAATCCACCAGCTTCTCCTGTGCAATTTATAACCTCTGAAAACCCACTAGAGGGTCAGCTGTGAGTTGATTTAAACTCAGCGACAGTGAATGAATGAGTTGCACTGCTAACTTGCAGGCTTCTCAGAATGTTCAAACTCCTTGCTGCCAAGTTGGACCAGACTCCTAGCCAACCCTCTATGAGGTTTCTGAGGCTGGAAATTACATGGGAGGAGAGTGACCACTTTTCTCCCTTGGAGCAAGTGGCTTTGATCTACCTGTCATTGAGTTGGTAGT